TCCACCCACAGGGCTCAGGGTCCTGCCTGCAGTCCTTTCCAAAGGTCAGAAACCGGAGGGAGGGGTGAGGCCCTGTGGGGCTCCTGGGCACCCCCGGACCGGCCCTCACCTGTCCGCCTCCCGCAGGGGGGCTCCCCTTGCTTCCTTTACGGGGCCGCAGCTGGACTCACAGCGAACCCTCCCAACAGCACAATGAGGTCGTGTACCCTGTTTGTACCCCCATTAGGAAGCGGGGACACAGAGGGACTCAGATATTTGAGGCCCACCCATGGCCAGGTTGCAAGCAGGACAGCCCGAGCCGTCGAGGCCCAGGGAGGGACCAGGGATGGGAGAGGCGAAGCCACTGGTCCGAGGTCACACTGCTGACTGACGAGGGTAGAATGGGGTCTGCCTGCCTTCCGGGCCAGTCCGCTCAACCACCACCACCCACACCTCTGCTTTCTACCCACTTTCAGTGCCTGCTCCCTGCCCCGGGCGGGGTGGGGTGGGGCAGGCAGGAGCTGGAGGTCTCCCAGGAGCTAGGAGCCAGGGGGCAGGGTTCTGAAGGCCCCCCGGGCCCACCCCGCCTCCGAGGGTCACAGGGCTGGGATGCGCAGACAGGTGCAGACAGCCAGGAGCCCTCTCTCCGGCGGCTGCCTCCCAAGCCACAGGGTGAAAGATGCTTTTATGAGCGGGATGAGATTCTTATCTTGGCGGTTTCTCTTTAAATTCTTTACGATTATGAAGCAGCGGGGGCTGCCAAGGAACATGATTTACTCCCTGAGCATGCACCAGCTCCCGCCCGGTGCCAAGGAGGGCGGGCGGGCGTTGTACCAGGGAACCCGAGACCAGGCCCCGGCTGCTGGGCCCCCGCCGACGGCAGGCCCGGCCGAAGCTTGGCTGGACCCGGCGGGCCCACAGCTGAAGGCCCAGCCCCTGGCCTGGCTGACAGGCGGGGCTCAGGCAGGACCTGTCCCTGCTCCCTCCGAGGGCAGTGGGGGGCCAAGAGAGGGGCGGGCGCCAGCCCCCAGGACCTGCCAACTCCCCAAGTGGCCATTTCCCAGCTCCCCCTCCGGAGGGAGGCGGCTCCCACTGCCAGGAAAGCTGATCCCAAATGCAGGGATCTGGGCTCAAGTTCACGCGTTGGGTCTTCCTTCCTCCCTCTTTCTGGCTCATCCAGGAACACACGCCCATCCTGCTGTGCCGCTCCAGGTCCCCGTGGCTGTCCCAGCACCTGAGCCTGCCCAGCTCCCCACGCTGCTCCCGGCCTCGAGGCTCCGAAGCTCCGGGCTCCGCACCGCCTCCCCTGCAACCTGGGGCTCCACGCCTGTTTTGGCCCGGGAGGAGCCCTGGGGGGGGGGGGGCCACTCCCCAACCTCACTCCACGCCTGTGCATCAGGCCTGGGACTGGGGCAGTGCGCCAGCCAGCGAGGCTTGCACAACCCCCACCCACGGTGACCCCTCCTAACCTCCCATCTCATCCTCTCCTAACAAGGAAAGTGCAGACTCTGGCTTTCGGCTGCCACATGCAAATGATGTCAGTGGTGGCTCCGGGGCGGGCGGGGCGGGCCAGCAGGGCCTCGCTGGCCCAGGAGCCCTTGCCCCTCTGGGACCCGGTTTCCCTTCAGAAAAGGTGAGAGTGTCCTGGAGGGGCGAGAAGCAGCCCACGGCGACCCCAGGCCTTTCCTGGGGAAGGAGGCTGGGAAGGCCAGCGGCGCTGCAGGGCCCTGGAGCCTTGTCCCCACCCAGCTCACGGGACAGGGCTGTGCCCGCATCCTCCCGCCAGTCCCCTCCGTCCTGCTCCTGAGAGGCTCGGGAAGCCTCCAGGTCCCCAGGAAACCCGGGGGGGCTGCCTCAGGCCGTGGAGGCCGCCACTTGGTTGTCGTCAGGGGCTCCCACAGTTACTCCTATTGTGGGCATCTTTCCCGACCTGCTTTGGCGAGATGACCTTCTGCTCCATCTCCCTACCCCTGCCTCAGTCTCCCCAGCAGTCCAGCCCCCTCATGTCATCACAAGACCTCTTTCCCCCACGGAACACTTCTTGGCCCCAAGTCCCGGCCAAATGCGGCCCAGGCAGCAGCGGTGTCCCGTGGGGCGGCTCCCTGGCACAGCGCGCATTCCTCAAGCGGAGCAAAAGCCCTGGCAGGGCCGGCACCTCCCCTCGGCAGCCAAGGTGGTGCCCTCTCAGGTGCGGGGAGGGGAGCTGTTTTCCCAGGCTCGGTCGGTGACTCTGGGGTTCAGGGGACCCAGGCCTGGCGAGGAGGGCGGAGGACAAGGGGCCTGCGGTCCCGGCTCTCCCGGCCTGGCACCCTGAGCTCAGAGAACACCCTGCCTGCTCCCGGGGTCTCCCTACATGGCCCCTCACTTCTGCCCGACCTTGGCTGTGCTGCTGATGGAAGCTCAGGGCTGGGCCACAGGAGCCCCCGACTCCGACTGAACCCCGGTCCCTTCTCCCTTCCACCCTCTTTGCTTGAGGCTTGGCAGGGGGTGCCCAGGCGGACGGGCAGGCAGCGAGCCCACGTCTGGCCCAGTTCCTGCCTTTGTTCCTTTATCTGCCCTGGGCAGGAATGCCCTGTATGCCAGCGCCTCCCAACTGCAGCCGGACCGAGTCCCCGAGGCCTGGAGCCAGAGTGACCACCAGTGCTTCTGCGAGCAGCCCTCTCTGTGCCCAGGAGGAGCCCCCACTTTCCCAGTGCACAGCCAGGCTGTGGGACCCCAGGTTCTGCGGGAGCTGGCCCCCGCTCTCACTCCACAAACCCTCGGCGAGGACTCACTCCTCAGCGAGGGCCACTTCCTGCTCATGACCTGGCTGAGACCATCCAGGGACCCAGCACGCAGTCAGAGCTGGGCTCCCAGGTGGCACAGGCGACAGGGTGCCCACTGTCTTCCAGCCGGTTTGACGGCAGGTACCCCGTCCTGTTCACTGCGGAGTCCCCAGAGCTCAGCACAGGGCCCGGCCCACAGTAGGCGCTCAGGTATCTGCTAAACCAAGTAACGTTAACCATCAAACCAGGACACGCGATCCAGTGGGGACCAGGAAAGGCCGTTCAGGGCAGGGACACTGCGTGTGCAAAGGCCCCGAGGCCCAGGCATGGGTGGCCCGGCTTCCCGCAGCCCCACCCCGGCGGCCGGGGCAGTCAGCGCTGCGTAGGCCGCCTGCCAGGAGCTGGGCTTTTAGTCACCGCGGGTGTTGGCTTCAGAGCTAATTGAGAGCGAATCGACCTGACTGATGTGGGCGTCGGGCGTCGACGAGGCCGGGACACCAGGGTTCTATTTCTGGCCTCGCTCCTGCCTCCTGCGCGACCTTGGCCTTGCCCTTGCGCGAGCCTCGGTTTCTCTCTCTGGGAAACAGGGACAGAAGCCTTTGCCCCTTTGCCCCCGGAAGGCCAAGAAGAGCCTGCAGAGGGCCTCCCCGTGCATCGTCCCTCCTGCGACCTCCCATGGTCTCCAGGGTGATGACAAAAATAACCCAGAGTGGATGCCGGGCTCCAGGGTCCCCGGGGTGTGGAGACCAAGCCACCCCACCCTCGTCCTGTGGGGGAAGGGGATGGTCTAACCCCCTGCCTGCACCCTGGGCTGCTGGGAAGGGGGGCCGAGGGGGAATCAGGCCCCTTCAAGATTTATTGATCTGCTCTGAGGAATTCCACCAGGAAAGGGTGGGGGTGTCAGCAGAATAAATAGCTCATCTCCCGGCCTAGGAGAGGGGCTGCCCGTTCCTCAGGCCCTGCACGGGCTGCCCTCCAGGCTCACCCTCAGAAACCCGTTCCCCACTAACCCATCCCCCCACTAACCCATCCCGCTGCCAGGGCAGGCCGGCACGGGCACACGGTGAGGCGAGGTGAGGCGAGCTGGGCTGCAGCCAGGCTTGAGGAAGGAAAGAGCCCGGCCCAGCCTTTCACCCCGACATGTGTGCCCGGAAACCTGGCCAGCCAAGGCTGAGTCCGCCCCACCCAGGGCCGGCGGCTGGACCGAGTGACCTCGGGCCAGAGGGGAGCCACGGCTGAGAACTCGGGAGTGACCCAGGCCCCGCAGGCCCCAGCGTGGCCACTGGCCCTCACCCAGGGGCACAGGAGACTTCCGGTCGCACACCCCTCCGAGGAAGGACCCGTGAACCACGCGTGTTCGCCTGCGTTTGCCTGCCCGGTGCCTCAGGTGATGGAGCTGCGGGGCCCGCTCTCACTCTGCAGACCCCAGCCCGTCCCTGGCTCCCCCCAGGCACTTCCGAGTGCTCACGGGGGATGCAGGAGCGCGGGCTTGTCACCACAGCACACGCTCTGCCAGAGCTCGCCAGGCGGCCTGCCCTCCGGTCACAGCCACAGCACCCTCCCCAGTTCCTGGGAACCCTCCCACCTCCACCCACAGGGAGGCTCCTCAGCGCCCGCACCCCTGCAGAGCAGGTCCTGCGCCTCCACTTCCTGGAGTCGGTGTCTGCTGGTTTCTGACCCTCTACCCGGGGCTGCCCAGGGCAGGACCAGACGCAGAGCGGGCGCCAGGGCTTCTGCAAACACAAGCTGGGAGGGCGGCAGCGCCAGCGTCCAGTTCCCACTCAAGAGGAGCCCCTGCAGGCCCGAGGCCAGACTCCCCTCTGCCTCTAGAGCAGCGGTTCTCAACCTGTGGGTCGCGACCCCTTTGGGGGTCGAACCACCCTTTCACAGGGGTCGCCTAAGACCATCGGAAAACACATATATAATTACATATTGTTTTGTGATTCATCACTCTGCTTGATGTTCAATTTGTAACAATGAAATTGGGGGTCACCACAACATGAGGAACTGTATTAAAGCGGCATTAGGAAGGTTGAGAACCACTGCTCTAGAAGGACCCAGACTCAGGACCCTGCTCCAAAATGTCTGAGTGGCCCAGTCCCCAGCCTTCCCAGCAGCCCCCACCTCCTGTCCCCCCCTCACCCCCAGGCCACCCACGAGTGGTCCTTGTTTGCCGTGACCTCTCCTCTCTCCCGTGCGGCGGGCCGAGTGCTGTGCACAGAGGGGGCTGCTGGGGACCGCACGGCGGCCTCTTACCTTGGAATGAGAGCCGGACCCGGGGCGTGGCCGGCGGGTGGTCCTGGACGGGGGTGGCTGGCCAGGCCCCGGTCACTAGGGAAGCCCAGAGGAGGAGACCAGCCACAGGCATCGTGGGAGGGGCCAGGGGCCCAGGAAGCAGCTCAGCGGTCTGGACACCTGGGAGGGCAGAACCGGGATTGGAGTGTGGGAGCAGACAGGGGCGTCCGCCCCACCCACAGCCCCCATGTAATTCTGCCAAGGACCTCAGTTTCCCTGTCTGAACAAATAGGGTGACGGTGTCTCCTCACTCACACCCTCGGCCCCAGTACTCAGACCTCACACACTTTCTTGTCCCTGTTTCGTCTATGTAACCAACGGCCCTGAAGACCAGGCAGCCAGGTGCAGCCCCAGGTCAGCAGAGCTATGGGGGGCGGCGGGGGGGCACTGGAGACTCACTCTCCCAGCCCCAGCCCCAGCCCTGACTGCACTCCCCACAGGCTCCTCCTCATGCCCACCCCCCACCGAACGGGCTGCCCATCCCTCTCCCACCTCAGGCTGGAGTAAGAGGGGGCCCACCCTGCCTGCTCCACCCAGGACAGGGAAATCTGGACCTGGTTATCGGGGCGCGGTGCACGGAAGAGCGGAGAATGCGGGAGGCCCGTGTACGCAGCCCAAAGTGCAAGAGCGCAGCAGCCAGGAAAGGAGAGGCAGGGAAGAGCCGGCTCCTTCTGCTGAAACCACAGCAGGAGGGATCCAGGTCAGACCTACGGAAGGACTTCCCGCAGCAGCCTGGGCGGTTCTGCAGATTCCCCTGCAGAACTCCCGCACCCCCGGCGGGTCCAAGTCTCAGTGCGATGTTTTCCCAATGTTGTCTCCCCAGGCAGACTGGCTGTTGGGTAAACGCAGCCCAGCACCAGTTGTCGGAACATATTGCTCCCTCCCGGCAAAAACCAGCGCCAACTCCCCACCCCCCCACCCAGATGCACTGGCGGTGGGGGCACCAAGATGACCGTGCGAGCCCCACCCCCTGACCCGCTCGGTCTCCCCCTCCGCCCGTGGGAGGCAGGCCCAGGTGAACGCTGGGCCCTGGGGTGGGGTGAGAGCCTGGCACTGGCTGACACATGCTGGGTGAGGCCCCACAGGCCCCATTGGGCAGACCTGGTGCCCTCCGCTGACCCGCATCCCCAAGCCCTGACCTCTCCTGCCAGGGCCAACCATTCGTGGTTCCTCAGACAGGAAGTGCAGCCTGGGCCTCCCGGCTATTCCCCAGGGGTGCCCTGGGGTGGGGGGAAGGCCCTCTCCTGGGAGCTGGCGCCTCTCTGTTCCCCCCCGAATCCCCATCACAGACGCTCCCTCCTGGG